GACGACGCCGAGAAGGCGGCAACAATAACAAAACAAAGTTTGTCGCTCTGCATGCTACAAAAAAAAAACAAAACAAAAAAAAAAAGAGAAGAAAATGTATATAAAAAAAAAAAGCACAATAAAATAAAACAAGAACAAAATTGCAGACGCAACTTTTAAAATTTGTTGCTGCCTTTCGCTGGCCGCGACAGGACAACTTGATGTCCTTGTCTGCTTGTGACGGAAAATGTGGGCGGACTTGGCGAAGAAAAGTGCGCACACTGAGTGAGAAAAGTGGAACAACACGGCTGCCTTGGAGTTCATCTGAAGGAGCTTCAAGTTAATAGGCATGTCGGGTTCAATCGTTGCAATCTAAGAAGGCTTACAAAAAAGTTAGAAAAAAAGAGAAAAAACTTTAACAAAATCTTGAAAAAATATGTCAAAAGTAGTAAAAATTAATTATTAAATCTTTCTTCTGCATTAATTTAAAGTATCATTAAACTAGATTTAAGTTGATTTCCCTCAATTTTCAGCCTATAAAAAATGTATTTAACACACACACACACACACACACATATAAATGGCAATTAATTAATGAATAATTGATGGACAATTTAAATTTATGTGGCAGGTACAAAGATACATGTTTGATTTACATTTTTAATTTGATGACAATTAACATATATATTTAAATGGCAACGTAAGGTGATAGTAATCATATAATTAAAAGAAACAATTTAAATTGGACATATTTTATTAATTAATTTGAAATATTAAAAAAAACGAAATTTCCTTCATGTTTTTTGGTTACCTTAAAGAATGTCCTCTTATTCTTTTTTATTTTATCTTACCTTCTATCTATTTATTTTCAGTTTTAGGATTGCTGGCGTCACGCCTGCGCTCGCCCGTTGTTAATTTAAGTGAGGTTATGTCGATGTCTCGGGGAGTCGCGCGTAATGATGACGTCAGAGCGGCAGGAAGTCTTCTTTTGCAATACGCTGCGTGTTGACTGTTTTTTTTTTTTTTGATTGTTGGCCCACTGACCCACTTGCAATTTAGCAGCGGTTTCAGCCGGCCGCTCCCAGTGTTTCTTTCGCCTCAGTCAGCCAGCCCCCTTGCCCAACCCGCTGTCACAAAATCTGCATCTGCAACAAAAGGCGAAAGGAGCCGCCATTAAAATGGAGAAACAAAAACAGCTTGACTTGTCTTTGAGATTTCGTGGTATTTCTGCTTACGCTGGTGGTTCTTCGATTTTAAGAGAACATTTTAAGGGAATTTTCCGGTGAAAAGTGCGCCTGCGCTACAAAACCATGAGTGGTGAAAAGCTTACTTAGCCGAAGAGAACGCGATTCACGCTTTATTTGCTAATTAAACGCAATTTTCTTGCGATTTTGGTCCATGCTGCGTTTGAGGGATTTCTGTGGTGAAAAAAAAAGAACATCTCATTTTATCATCTTCGGGAAATCAAAAAGACTTTTAAGCCGCCCTGCTAATTGCCGCTTATCCTTAGACAAATATGAAAAACTATGAAAAACAATAAGGAAAAGAAAAGGAGGGAATCAAATATGAATGGGGGAATCCCTTTTTTTCTGGGATCCTCTTGGTAATATCGATGGCCAAAAGTTTTCGCCCATTGGAGGGCACTTTAAAGTTCCCTTCGGAAAACCGAAAGTTGCCCCGGCAAAGCCAAACAAGATGGAACAAGTGGAATCATTTTTCTTGTTTGCCCTCAAACTTTCGCTGCCGCTCGTCGCCCCGGCTCGAGTGTTTACTGTACTGGCACAACATGGCTCAAGTTTTCCAAAAGAAGGATTTTCCACTAAAAATTTGTGCAAATGCCTGGCAGCGGGGGAATGGGCAAAGAAATTCGTTTTTCAATTAATCGCCGCTTAAAGTGTGGTTTATGCACTGTGAGGAAAACTAAGACTTAAGCGTACGTTCTTTGGGTATAGCTTAAAATTCTATTTAAAGTATTTTTAATAATATTAAATTGTTATAAAATAATCGAAGGATTAATAATCAAAACTGCGGACTTTTAAACCGAAATGGTTGAACAACAGAATTAATCCCAAAGAGCATTACGCTTTTTAGTTAATTAACTACACTTAAATTTAAAGTTAACAGTTTATGTGGAGAAAGTATTTAAGTTTTTGGAATTTAAAATATAAAAGGTTGGTTATAAGCCTATATTTTATTGTACTTTTAGATCTGTTATTTTATAATAAGAAAAATCTATAGAATTCCTAATGATTAACCCATTTAAATACCTTTGAATTTCCATGTTTTTCCTTCAGTGTCCTCCGTAATTGCAATCCTTAACGCCATCGTAATCTCAGCCTGACCAAATCCACCCATCCACCATCTCTTTCAGTTGCGATGCTCAAACAAAACGAAGCTTGTTCATTATGTTTGATGATGTCCGTGATGCTGTTGTTGTGCTCAAAGTTGTTTGCTTTTGGCAAGCTGTTTGTTTATTTAAAGCAATTGAAAATTAATTAATTTACTTACGTAACCGAAACTGACACAAGAGCAAATAAATGTGCAATGAACATTCGCTTGCACACAGTGCGAATAGTTGCTGCCGTACCGTAGTGATGTTGCTGCTGTGCAGTTGATGTTGCTGTTGCTGTTGGTGTTGCTTTTGTGATGTTGCTGTTGTCAGTTAGTTAGACACTCACACACCAATGAAGACAGTGACACATACACACAGATAGATATATGTATATATATATACTACCATACGAAGACAGTGGAAAATCTCTGGCAATGACAATGGCAGCGAGGCGTTCAACTTGAAGTTCTGCAGCTGCCAAGTAAAATAAACACACAGCTCGTGAAATCTGGGCAAAATAAAGGGGCGTGATGGGTGTGTGATGGTGTTGTAGAGTGGGCCATCTGACTGTAGGAGGCGTGGCAGTGGTTAGTTCTTGAAATTATAATGAAGCACAGGCTGAAATGCCACTGCATTAGGTGCAAATGAAGTTTCGGAAAATGGAGCGTCAACAGAAAAGTCGAGACGAGTTTGCTTTTCCCTCAAGATCTGCAAAAATGTGTCAAAAAATCCAGAGAAGTGAAAAATAAATAAAGAGGGGGAATCACATTTTCTTTTTTTTTTTTTTAAGCTGAAAGTGCAAAGAATATGCTTTAAGTTTGTTTAGAGTTTTGACTACTATTTAGTTAGTAGTTTAGTTACTTAGAACCATAAAATGTTTATCTATCGCAATGCTAATAAACTTGCATTTAAATCGATTAAATATTTAAAAGCTATAAAATTCTATTACCTAAAATGAAATCTGCTAACTATAAGCAGATTAAAAACAAAATTATGAAAGAGGCTTACGCATTTTCAAGAGATTAACAAAGCTTATTTATCTGCATTTGTTTAATTTATGTCTGCCATTACGTTTGGTTCTTAAAGCTTTGTTGCTTTTTTTATATGCTAAGCAATTAAATAATTTACAGCTTGGCTGCGTGTGCAGGATTAGGCAACTTGTTGGGTTTTAATCAGAAGTTAAATTAAAGCTTTAAGCATTTACCAAAAATTATGGGGGAAATTGAAGAGGACTGCAAATAGAATTTCAAACACGAGATTAAAGTTGTGTACTTAAACTTAAACATAAACTTAAACTTTTATATAAAAGAATTTAGAGTTAAATTTAGGAAGTTTTAGACTTTTCCATCTTATTGTATTAAAAAGAGTTATGAATATAAAGTTTAGTAACCTCAACCTACTATAAAAAATTATAATCTTAAAACTATCATAAATTTAACAAAAATATACTAGTAACAAGACCCGAATAAAGTAGCATCTCATCACAATTTCTTCACCCACCGACGACAGATCAGTGTTGCCAAATTTGTTGGCCGCCTTGGGCCAAACTTTTTAGCAATTGTTTGCCTGTTTTTCCTTTACTTTACTGTGACTTCCTGCAGTAGCAGTACAAAGAAGCAGTAGGAGAAGAGGGAGAACATGATTTGCATGAAAAGAACTGCAGACGCAAAAGCTTCTTGGGAATCCACTATTTTGTATATCACCCCGTTCTTATACCCTAACTTAAAGTACATCAACTTGTTGTAGAAGAAACATATATATAGTCTAAAATTATAAAAAATATTAAAAAAGCAATTTTTTTAAATTAAGAAACCTTTGAACATAAATTTTTTAAAATTCTAATAAAATATATTACTAATATACATTTTAAGGGTATTTAATTAATCGACTTCTTATTTTTTCATGCTAGACAAATCATCGAGTGCGAATGAGATGCAAGTAAGTAGGTGAGTGTAATGGCAAATTCAAGAATTCTTGCTGTTACTTTTGCAAACTGACAAATACTTACACACATATACCACCGACATCGAGTGGCTTCATGTATTTGTTGTTGTCGTCTTGGCTTGGGCAACTCACGCGCTCTTCGTCTTCTTTTTCATCCTGCTCCTTTTCTTGTTCTTGTCCGCGTAGCTCTGTTGTTATTGTTGTTGTTGCTGATGTAGCTGTTGTTATTGCTCTACTTATTGTCACATGACAAAAGCTGACGCGTCATCATTATCTATTGTCTTGCTGTATGCCCATGGTCTTGTTGCTGTTGTTGCTGTTGCTCTTCTTCTATTCGCTGTTGTTGTTATTGCTTTAGCTGTCGGTTGTTGCCAACAATTGCACACACGTCAGCAACATAAGTGTTGGCAACATTCGCCGCCCGCTGAGGCTGCTGCTGCTGCTGCTGTTGTTGTTGTTGCTTAAGCAGTTGTTTTAAGCCTTAATTAATATTAAATACAAACTATGGTATTTGCATTGAATTATTTGGTAAAAGAAAAACACCAGGAGCCACAGCCTTTTTTAAGTTAATTAACTTACATGAACAAGTAAACAAAATCCGATCAAATTAAACTGTAAGAACTTTTTTGTTAGCAATAAGCTTGTTGCTATTCACGCTCATTCACAAAACATTTTAAACGCTCGTTCCCAAGACCAATTTCTTATCTCGACTGATCCACCGCTAGCTCGCTTTGTAACTGTTCATAGGACCAAAACAAAAACTTGCCAAATTCAGCAGCAATGCAAAAGGAAAAGACGAAAAGAAGAGAGGGGGAAAAGAGCTAGCTCGTTCACAAGACGAATTCCTTATCTCGTCTAATATCACGCGGCCGAAAATCCAACGCTAGCTTGCGTTGTAACTGTTAATGAATGGGACCAAAACAAAAAATTGCAAAATTCAGCCGCAATGAGAAAAGAAAAAAACGAAAAGAAGAGAGGAGAGAGAGCTAGCCTCCAGCGGAATGCAACAACAACCATGGGATTTGGGAATTTTTACTGGAAATTTTGAGAGCAATTACCCTCTCCCTTTGAATATTTCTCCCTGTCGATCAGTCATAAATTGACTTCTGACGAGAGTGGTTGTGCTTTTGTGTTGTTAGTGAATAATTAAAAAAAGTGATCTGCAAGTGGTTTGGTTGATTTACGCTGCGAATATGTGATATTAATTTGTAAAAGTGATATTGAAAGCCGGTAAGCTAAGTGATAGAATGTAGTTTATGTGTGGTGAAGTTTATCTAAATTAAATGCATTTATCTACATTCTATATATGTATGAACGAGTATATACATACACCTATGTACATATTGGAATAGCTTATATATAACAACTACACTACTAACATATGTATAACAAGAGTTTGATATAGTTAAGTGTTATACAAAGTCGGTCAGGTGAGTGCTCTTCCACTGGAATGGTTTGAGCTGCTAATATTTTACAGTTATATATTAAAATTAGTAGGGTGAGTGAAAAGATAAAGTTTATGTGTTTATTCATAATTTATCTAATACAAATTTATTTCCCTTTTAGTACATATACGAGTCTACATACCTATAAACCGGAGTGGCTTAAGCTGGAAGTTTAAATTAATTTAAAAATGCGGGGTGAGTGAAAAAGATATATATATCCTTTCTTATTTTATAATTATAAGCATGAATTTAGGGAAAAATATTTGTTAACAAATTCTTAAAGTAAATTAGTGTGGAAATTTATCTCTTAAATTCTTGACCATACAAAAATACGAGATGCGTGCGTAGCCAAAAAGTGAATTTAGGCTGGAAATGATTTTTCGTCTTAGTTACTGCTTTTAATTTAGTTTACTGCCGGCTGACTGTTAGTCGGGGGAAATTCAGTCAGTCAAGGTTCAAACGAGTTGAAGTCGAGAAGTCGAAGAAGTCGAAGTCGTGCCTCTGACAGTCGGGAGTACGTGACGCTTGAGTTGCCATGTCCTGACGTTTGACTATGCTGATGTCTTCATCAGGGCCAGCAACTCACCCATTTCCCCATCTCTTCCGACGCCTTTCCCCATATATACACACACACACACACACATTTCATTGTGTTGCGTGTGAGTGTGTTTGTGGGCATAAGGCATAGACGGAAAAGAGTCAAGGCATAAGGAAAAACTATGAAAAAGCGCAGCCGCTTTTCCACACCGCAGGCACGCACACTTAGACAATGGGAAATGGGAGGGAGGAAATAAGGGGAAAGAGGGGGGTGGTACAGACAGTCGGACAAAGGCAAGTCAATTTAATTTATTTTGTCACTTTTGTTGTTTGACAACGAATTGTTGCTGCTGTTGCTGTCGCTAGAGTGACATGTCACTGGCTCCCCACTCAGCACCACCCCTTTCCACACACCTTTCGCCACCACCACTACCCCTGCCCCCCTTTTGTCTGCCATTTGCTGACGCATTTAAATTTCTGTTTGCATTGACATTCGACAGCGATTGACTGACATTCGCTCGGTTGAGAATGCGACTGCCACAGGATTCCGCAAACGGACTCAATTACCCAGTTGAAAAGCAGCAGTGGGAGGAGGGAAATGGGACAACGGTAGAACAGGAAAAGCGGAAAAGATAGGAGGTAGTTGTCGATAAGCCAAGGTCAAAGAAAGTTAATTAACCTGCGATCCTCACTGGTAGAAAGAAACTTGATTTGGAACTTGTTCCTCGAAGGAAATTGCTGTCACACATGCCTGGAAAACTTACCCTTTCCACTTGATATATTCTATAAATTTGTTTTTTTTTTTAAATATCAAACACTTGTGCACTCTTATCGGATGATAAAATATTTACCAGAATTTTCACATTTTCCAACAATAATAATTCAAACACTTCAAATCGATTTCCTTGACAGTTTAGCCAAAAGAAACAAATCCGAGAATTAGCATATAAATGTTGTTACTGTAGATATATTTATGGGAAAATCTAGTATCTAGTGGCCATTAAATTTAATTTGGCAACGCATTCAAGCGCACGCGAAAACTGTCTGGCAAAATTGTAATGCACAAATTCAAATGGAAATTGATTTGATTTTCATATTCTGTGTCCCAGGCCATGCGAAATAAAATATTTACAATTTAATTAAAGTGCAAAGCTGCCAAAAAACATGATGGGCAAAATGTCCATGATGCCTACGCTCCTGCTGCGTATGAGTAATGTTCCAGTTTTTTGCCCACGATTACACATCCGCAATGTTGAGCTGTCACTGCGCGACCTTTTTGTGTTTTTTTTTTTTTCTTTTTTTTTTTTTCATTTGTCCATGGTCACCTCTTGACCTTTTCAGCTTATGACTTATGTAGGGAGAAAAAAATAATAAAAACTAAAGAAAGTTTAGGAAAAACTTGGCCAAACTTAAGACTCACTCTAATAGCTGCAAAGTGCAACTTAAACTAAAAACTAAAAAAGAAAATCAGGTTTTTATGATTCACAACTGCTGACAGCATCATCGATTCTACTATAAATTTAACCAAAAAGTTTCAATTTCAAATTTATGCCCTGCATTTCAGGGGACATAACTTTGGCCTTAGCCCAAGGTATTTGAAAATTTTCTTCTTATTTTTTCTACCTTTATTTCTACCTTCTTTAGCATTTTCCTAGACCAGCTAGCAAATGGTCAGTCACGTTTGCAAATTAAAATTTCAAAACCTTCTCATTACGAATTCCAAAGCTAATATAACACAGGACTACAAAGTTTAAAGTTTATTTAGAGGATAAGAAAATTTTTCTACATTTTTTAGAGGCTTTTCAGCAGCCCTAGAAATATTCCATAAATATTTTTTCCCACCTAAAATCTTTAAGAATTTCTTTTCCATAACATTTTCCCTGTTGACCTGTGTAATTCGTGATGTTTATATATTTTTTCACCCCGAAAATGAAGCAACTCAAGAGGAAAGGTTAAAAAGTCAAGCGGCTTGATGAGGGATTCGTTTTTTTTTTTGGTTTTTTTTGTTTTTTGTGTTTAAGGAACCGGAGTTCCCCATCATTTTGGTGTCTCATTCTTTGGCTCATAAAGCATTAACACGTCCCTTTTTTTTTCTTCTTGCTTTTGCCCTCAACGGTTTTCTACGCCATTCCATTGCTAGGAAGTTGGTGCGTTTCGCGCCCCGCAGCGCATAAATTAATAAAGTGTGTAATTACAAAGTTCATAAACTTGGCAAACGCTCATCTGCCATACATGACCAACAGCAACAACAGCAACAACAGCAACAACGAGCAACACGAGCAACTTGAGCAACATGAACAGCAGCAACGAACAGCAGCAACATCAACAAGGGACTCGGCAGCCCGAAACTCTTTTCGCAATGTCGCCTTTTGTTTTCCTAGGACGAAAGCCTTGAAATTTTGAAGGGTATGATGGGAATAACCTAAGCTTTTCTTAGGAAAATTACTTAAAATTAAAGGTTTTATAAGTTTATTTAATTTGCTTTAAAAGTGTTTTTAAAAAGTAAAAGTAATGTCTGATTTAAAGTTAAAATTTAAGCAGAAATTTCTCCTCTTTTAGTTCTATTTCTTCTTTCTATTTTTTAAATTATAAATAATTTTAAATTATTTAAAATTAAAATTAAAATATCATATTTAAAGCCAGTTTTTTTTTAAGCACCCTTTAAATTTTCTTTAATTTCCCTTCATGATTTCCATGAGAGCATCTTGAATTCTAAACATTTTTATTACAGCTTGCTGTAACCCCAGAAAATGTTCTTTTGTTGCTGCTGTGGCACTCAATTATTTCATTTGGTTACACCCATTTACACCTGCCCCTTTCAACGCCCCCCTTTTCATACCCCTGGTACTCCTTCTCCTAATGCCACGCCTTTTTCTAGCTTGCAGCCCTTTGAAGAGCTCGTTTGTGTTCTAAAGGTGCGAATTGTTCGCCATTCTGCATATTTTATGAGCTAATTAACTGACACACGGCTAGCGGTGGCCCATTGGGAAAATCTAAACTCCAACCGCTCCCCCCCCCGTTGAATTTTCCTTGTTTCTTCGTTCTGCTTCTACTCTCTCCTCTAGCTGGCAGCTGGTTTAGATTTGGGTAAATAATAGTCATAAAGTTGTGTATTTTGTTATTGTTCGTGCGGTTACTGTGGCGTTGGCAAAAATTTTGTACAAATATTCCACACAGGGGGCAAAAAAAAAAAAAAACACAAAAACGAAAGAAGGTGGCAAAAGTGGGAAAAACACCGGGAAATTTAGCTTGTATCTCTAATTAGCACAATATATATATATATAAATATATAGTATATACATGGTATAGGGGGAGAAAGAAAAGCCACTCACATTGTGACAGCAACTAATAGGTGCGTAAACGATGTTTTCCATTGCATACTTTGCGGCGACTTTGGGGGATACTTCCGGGAAAATGCTAGAAAAATCGCAGGAAGTAAGAGAAATCAGTGGGCTCACCAAAGAAGTGACATGACTTTTCTGCTGAAGCGTGTTCATCTTTCTTCATTTCCACCTTCTCGCCACCGCTTGGCTCTATCTTTTCCCCTGCCTGTTTTCCACTGGGGTTTCTTCACCCCCTCACCTCCCCAGGCCAACCATCAGTCTGTGCCCCACCCACTTTCACCCCCCTGGGTGCGCTCGTTATGCGCGTGCATGTAAAACATTTCCGTGTTTCCGCTACAAAAACTTTTTTTTTTTGGCTTTTGCTTTTGTTCCAAAAACCTCGAAAACACACATACACTTGCACACCTACACACCAACACACACACTGTGAACACCCTAATATTTTGGGTGTTTATGTTTTTGGGTTTCTAGATGTCAGGGAAAGTAGATGATAGATAGGTTTAGGAAGATCAAAAGGCTTAAATAGATTAAAATTAAGTTAAAATTGATCATTAAACGATATTCTTATCGATATTATTTATATACTTATCGATACAATAAATATTCAATGAATCTTTGTTGATTTTTGGAATTTTCAGATACTTCAAATACTTTATTAATCGATATTATTATCGATATTATTTATATACTTATCGATACAATAAATATTCAATGAATCTTTGTTGATTTTTGGAATTTTCAGATACTTCAAATACTTTATTAATCGATATTATTATCGATATTATTTATATACTTATCGATACAATAAATATTCAATAAATTTTTGTTGATTTTGGGAATTTTCAGATACTTGTATTACCTTTTTTATTCTTTTTTTATGTTGAAAAAATAACAATAATCGATTTAGGAAATTGTTCGAGGAAATTCTTTTAACAAATTGAATTTTTTACCGAATTTTCCAACTTTTTTTTTTTTACAATTATTTTCCTACTGCATTCAAGTTTCGTTTTGCTACTTGGCGGATTTTATTACAAATTTTTGCCGTTGCTCAACATTTTTTATTTGTATTTTGTTGTTGTTATTATGGCTTTTGGCACAGCATCTGATAAAGCGAGCCAGAGGAGAGAGCCAGAAGATGATAAGCAGGGTGGTGGGGTGAAAGAAAGAGAGAGAAAGAGAGATAGAGAGAGAGAAAGCAGAGGAGAGTTTAGCAAAACATCGTAAATTTGTGTATAATTTGAGGTTTTTTCTTTGCCAAACAACAGCAGCGGCAACAGCAACAGCAACAGCAATAGCACCTAGAAAAATTCCCCA